ACCTTGCACTTGCCAGGTTGGCACTTAGACTGCCAGGCTATCTCCCCAAACCCCAAGTAATTTCTTAATGTCACGTACATAGCCATCTTTAGGTGCCAACAGTTCCCTAGCTTTTAGTTCTGGCTCTATCATTTCAAGGTATCTAAAAGGAATACACATGAAATACTTAAAGGTCATGAGCGTTGGCTTCCATTTCTAAATAAAGGGAATAATAAATATCTTATTTTGAAGAGTATTTGAAATGATGTAAAGCCCTTTGAGTGGCACTAGGTCCTTTATAAACAGTTACTATCAACCATGATATTTTGAAGAGAACAGAATATATGTAGTATAGCATGTATGCAGTACAGTGAAACTGTTAACTATAGTTTTAATGCCTTTTTTAGCTGATGACATTCCAGAACTACTTAGTTCTTCCAGTCTGTTTTCCATGCTGCTTCCCCTTATTATAGCCTACATAGGACCAGTGGCTGCTGCTATTCCCAAGGTATGTAATTGAATAGTGTAACTGTAAATCTCTTAAGTGTCATTTTTTTAGATTTTTTTCTCTTTCCTTTAAAGATACTGTAGTCCTTGAAGCACCTGAGTTATGGGTATTAAGCAGAGATAGATATGTTAATAATAGAAGTTAATTAAGTCTCACTTGTTCTTAGAATTATCCTTTGTATTATTGTGTTTATATATTGGATTTACATTTGAAAAATTAGGGAAAGGAAGTTATGTTTAAGAAAAATGATAAACATTTAGTTTGCTGAATTTTTATTTTTTAGATTTATGAGACTGATGTCAAATTTTCATTATCTTTACTAATAGCAATGGAAAAAGATAGGAGCATGTTAAAGTAGTGATATTCTCAAGACACATTTAAAGTCATAGACTGTTGGTTCTTTGGTATAATTAGTGATTAAAACCTAATTTACTATAGATCACCAAAAAAAAACAAGTGTTTAAAAATATAAACTAGGTTATTATAATATAGAATCCTATTTTTTTTTAAATCCGTAGAACACAGTTTTCTTTGAAAACAACATCGTAAAGCCTTTGGATAGAAATTGTTATGCTAGCAATTATACTAACTTATGATATGAAAACATTTCACATCTGTAATCACTGTCTTCAATCTACTAGGTGGCTGTGGAAGTATTTGGCCTGGTTCAGCAATTGCTTCCCTCAGTTGCTATTTTGAATCAGAAGTACGCACCCCCTGCATTCAATCCCAATCAGTCTACAGATAGCACCACAGGAAACCAGCCTGAACAGGGTCTCTCGGCTTGTACAACATCTAATCACTATGCTGTCATAGAGAGCGAGCACCCCTATAAACCTGCCTGTGTGATGCACTACAAGGTAGGCACGGATTCGCAGTCAGAACTTACATTCAAAACTTGATTTGAGGTTCTCTAATGATACTTTAAGAATGGTTTGTCCGGGAGCCGGGGAGATGGCTCAGTGGAATAAGCGCTTCCCTGGCAAGCGCAAGGGCCTGAGTTCAATCCCTGGTTCCACCAAAAAAAAAACAAAAAAAAAAAAAAAAAAAAGAATGGTTTGTCTTTGTCCAGAAATGTAACTTTTGAAAATAGTTCATCAGTATAGAAAAATCTATAGTTAGACCTTATCAGATATACAGAAGACTTTAAGACAGGATTTTATTTTAAGAAATACAAATATTTTTTAGTTTTATGCAAATTATTCTTAACTCTTTTTGTAACTGTTGTACAGAATATAATGCTAAATTTCTACAGTGTAAAGTTTGGAAATTTAGTTGCATCCTGTATACTGCACTACAGTTATACAAAGCATTAAGTAAGCTATAATATAAACATTAAAATTTGTAAATTATATTTTTAACAGATATCATTTGTACCACAGCCTGAGCTGTTGATAAAAATTTACATACCCTGTTTAAGATTTAAAGTAATATATAATTTTTAAATAAAAACTACCTAGAAAATGTTTGCAAACATTGTCAATATAAATATTCACTAATTCTTTAATTTATCATATAAATCAATGAGTCATCCACTTCAATTTAAAGTTGACATTTTTGTATACTTCTATTTTTTTTAATTTTTTGTTGAAAATATTAAATATGTAAAAATAGGGGCTGGCTTGATAACTCAGTGGTCTAAAGTGCCTGCCTAGGCAAGCTGAGGCAGGCATAGGGGACCGCAGTTCCATCCCCAGCACCACATGCTGCACCAGCCCCGCCCTCAGAGTGGGCTGAGAGAAGTAAATAAATAAATACATAAAAGTAGTCAAGATGGTACAGTGCTCCTCATGGGTTCATTTGCCCAGACTCAACAGTCTTTGTCTTTCCATTTCCTGTCCCTTCTTTTTATTTTAAAACATATTTATATTTTCTGACATATATCTCTAAAATTTAAGAACCCTTACAAATAAATATTATCATACTCAAAAAATGAATAATTCCTTAACAGCAAGTATCATGCGGATTTTACTAGTTTGTTTTAATTCTAGTACAGATGAAAGATGGATACCTTTTGCTTATGTCTCACTGATCTCTTTTAATCTTAAAACCTTTTAAATCTATAGATCCCCTTCTGTCTCTATATTTTGTTTCTTTGAATGTTATCTGTTGAAGAAACTGGACCATGTGTATTTGTTAGGTGAAAGTCTTTTCATAGTAGCTGCTGAGTCCTTTCGACACTTGTTTCCTCATTCTCTGCTGACACTGCTAAGATGTCCTCCCTTTTTTAGATCTGAAGCCAACTATTTTTTCAAAAGACACTAGTTCTTTTATACATACACATACATGTTGATGCACACACATTTTTATATATTTGTGTACATAATATGTGTGTATGTGTATTTACATAGTTACATATGTGTATATGTAGCTTTTTAAGAATAAAGTTCATTATGCATTTTTACTAATGACAGTTCAAAATAAGAATCAAAGAAACACATGAATCTTCTTGCTGGTACATCTAAAAATTTTTGTTCGCAATGATAATAGGAATACCAAAATTAGAAAATTACCTTATTATTCATTTTGCATGCTTGCATAGCTATAGGTAGGTAGATGAGTGGTTTTGTCCTTTGCATATATCCAAACTAAGATATAGCCATGTTACTATATTTTAAAGTATGTCCTCCTCACTGTCTTCTCTTTTCCTAATATAGGTGATATTTTGTTCAATTTTGTAGTTTACCCTTGTATTTCATTCAGTGAACCTATAGAGGCATTCATATCAAGTACACTTGTATAGGGTGACGGTTAGATCTGTGTCTTCTTGCCTCTTGTCTAGGTGACATTCCCAGAATGTGTCAGATGGATGACAATAGAATTTGACCCTCAGTGTAGTACCGCACAGTCAGAAGATGTCCTCCGTTTGTTGATTCCTGTCAGAACTATTCAGATTTCAGGATATGGACCAAAATTAACATCTGTTCATGAAAATCTTAATTCATGGATAGAATTAAAGAAATTTTCAGGACCTTCTGGGTGGCCTACCATGGTCTTAGTGTTGCCAGGTAAGTACTTTCTGTTTTACTGAAAAATGTGTATTTTATGAAGATACATTATTGAAAGTGTTTATTTAATTCTTAGAGGCAATTATTAAAGCCTTAATATGTATCTGTATCGGAGTTTAGGAATAAATAAGATGCCTTGGTGAAGGGAGATAACATGATACAACTTCTAAAGGAGGAGAGTATTGTGAAAAAAGCATAGTGTTAATATTGAGGTCACTCTGTGTAGTTGGGACCAATGTATAGAAAAACAGATTAAATCTTTTATTTCCCCAGTGCATACTGAATTTTCAGAAATTAACTAAGAACACTGTTTTTTCCTTTGAAGAAAATTTGTGAACCCCTTCTGATATATGTTGATATTTCAGTTGATTTGAGGACTTATATATATAAAAGACTGTGCACGTAAGAATTCATACTTATTACCACTGATACTTATGTTTTCCTTTTTAAAAATTAAATTTTAAAACTATGTGTAATTTATTATGTTGATAATTGATTAACTGTAACTACTTTCATACCCTTTCAAAATATTTCAACTCAGAAATATTTCCTTTCAATTGTAAATTGCCTGTATTTCTTTGTAAAAAGATCATAAAAAGACAAATGTCAGGATAGAGGATTACCTACCTTGAAATAGAAAATATTAGCCTAGATTATGTCAGTAATTGAGAGATTAAGATAACTGAAAATAATGACTTTCTTTATAAAGTCAGGATAATTGATTAAGGAATTTGATTATAACTAAAAATAACATCCATTCACATGATAAGATGGTCCTATTATTTTTAATGTTGCTTTTAGCAATTTGAGAAGACATAGGAAGCCACCAAAAAAAAAAAAAAATGTTTATTTAGGTTATAGTATCTGATTTCTGTAGCAACTTATCCTGGGATTGATAAACAATAGGGAAATTTTAATACAGTTAGTTCAGCTTTTGACCTCTATTCTGGCTTTTATTTATTTTTGTAAGGAAATGAAGCCCTTTTTTCATTGGAAACTGCCTCAGATTATGTGAAAGATGACAAAGCTTCCTTCTATGGTTTTAAATGCTTTGCAATTGGATATGAATTTAGCCCTGGACCTGATGAGGTAAAAGTAAATTATCTTTTCATTCCCTTAAGGAAGATTATGTTTTAAACCTCCTATTGATTTAAATTGTATTGTCCGCTGTATTCAAGAAGTCTGACACTTATTTTAAGCTAAGGGTATGTAATTTAAAATATAGCTTAGTTGTATGCAGTAAATTTTGTGACTTTTATTACATGAAGAGAATAGGCTCTCTGCAACATGACTCGTTATAATTGAAATGTAATTTTGAAATATAATTACGTCTTCCCTGAACCTATTCAAGAGAGCTTTCTTTT